TTCCAAGGGGAAGGAAACAAGCTAACAGACAAACTGAACACCGAATAGTGTTGTCAGAATACCAACATTTTGGTATCGGTACCAGTGCCAATATTTATTTCGACATTTTTCGATACGTTTTCAAGCCTTTGAGCATCTTTCGAGTCTTTGGCATATTTATTTAGCATTGTGCAATATGGCTAAAATGTTATATCACTCAAGCAAACATAAAAAAACAAACAAATAAATGGTCTTTTATTAGATGGGAGAAAGCATATCATGGATATGTGAGTTTTTGTGAGATTTTTATTTGGTGTTGTGCCGCGAGATTTTACAAACTTAATATATGTGCTTTGGCCTTGGCTCAGCAAAGGTTGAGAATCACTGCATTAAACAACGGTAATTTTTTTTTTCCCCAAACGCTAATGAACACAGCTCGTTGCTTCAGAGCGATGCCGTGCATGCATTTTGAAGATTCATGCTCTTATTATTGCTAAGGAAAGCCAGCACGACAGGACACATAGTTGTAGTAGTTGCTCTTACAAGCATTACTGTCATGCTTCATGCTTTGCATGCGGACCGTTTTGGTCATTCAAGCCGTTTAAACGGAATAACATGAATATTCAGTATGAGGGCGAAATCTAACGGTTTAATTGGTCCAGTTTGACAAATTCAGTAATTGCATTGGTCAGATGTGAAGAGAGCATCTATAACTCTGTTGGCGACATAAAGCTCGTCAGTAAAAATGAATAAATAAAGCGCGTTGCATTTAAATCTGCAGGGTTGAAATGGAAAAGAGTAGCAGATTATCATCGAGAAATTACGGTAGGCCTATCTGCCGTTCTTTGAGTTCAGGGTGCTTAGTGCTTGTCCTTCAAGTGTTGACGACTTTGGCCAGGCAGGTTTTAAAACACCGTTTACACATGAGGTGCACTGGCGTTAATTGCCTCGCCTTGCTCATTTGTCTTCAACCTGAAATACATGTACTATCATTTCACACTTGAGACCCCTGGTTTATCCACCAGTTGCGGCATGGTGACGCGTTACTGCAGTCATTCTCCTCTCTCTCACTCTCACTCTCTCTCTCTCTCTCTCTCTCTCTCTCTCTCTCTCTCTCTCTCTCTCCCTAGCTCCCTCTCCAAGATCTCTGATCTCTCCGACAGCTTTCCTTTTACTCCACGTGTTAACCCAATCCACGTTGTTTGCTTGTTTGCTAGTTGTTTTTTCCTTGTCAAGTCAACTCTAGTTACAAAGCGGTAACGTCACATGCCGATTCCATATCTCAGTAGCCTAGTATCAAATTAGAACTGGTATACCATGTGGTAAGAAAAATATTTGATGAACTAAGTGGTTCACAAACAAACAAACAAAAAACTGAGTAACGAACCAAGTACATTTATTACCCAACTAAGTAACAAACAAACTGACTGACACATCAATTAAATGGCTTACTAACTGGTGAATTAAGCACCTCAACAATTTATATCAATAATAAAATAGCTACCCAACAAACCAACTAACTGACAAACTAACCAACCAACCATTTAACAAGCCATACAAGTGACAAACAACCAATACGTGGACACACAAACCACATAACACCAGTTAAAAGTAGCTCACACACTAATACATTCGATAACCAACCAAACAACCAGCTAGCTAATTAACTAACTCGCTAACAAATTAAATAACTAAATAAACAGGAGTCCATTCATCATCTCAGCTGAGACTTACCCGTTGTTCCTGACAGGAGACAAAGGTCTGGAACCCCGGCGCTACCCCAAATCCCAGCTGATCAATGAACGGCGGCTCATCCTGCGTGTGGATCTGAACCTTGATGCCCGCTTCAAACGATGTCTCGTCTGTTGACGAAAACAGAGGTCGAAGACAAAGACCTAATCAGTTGAATTTGGCGTATAAATTATTTGAGGAAAAAGCAACTCCTTATTTATTTTAATAGTAACATTGTAAGATGAATTTGAAATGATATTGAAGCGTTTTGGGATCATAGCTTGTGGTATATTTACAGTTTAAAGCAGGGGTAGGAAACTCCGGTTCCTCGAGAGGCATATCCTGCCTGTTTTCGATCTCTCTCTACTTCAACACACTTGATTCAAACGATCAACTAACAGCAAGCGCTGTTGAAGCTTGAAACGATCATGATCAATTGAATCGGGTGTGCTGGAGTAGGGAGAGATCTAAAACAGGCAGAATGTGTCTCTTGAGGAACCGGAGGTCCCTACCCCTGGTTTAAACTATTAATGTCGGCAATTATGAACATTTTTAGGGGTAGTGTCATTTTTCACTATTTGCGACATGCCAAGAGTGGGGTTTTACTGTGTCTCCATCTGCCATCCATGTTTATTCTGTCCTTAATGGGATATGCATAAATAACACTTGTTTGACCATTTTTTTTAATGGGGACATTTATTGCGAGAGAAGCGGAGCCCCCTCAGCCTAATTCCAGCCTGCTTCCGGCTCTAAAACGTTTTGACCTTGTCAAAACTGTTATTATCTGAACAGCATTGCACTCCAATGATCAGAATGGTACCACCTCTAACTTAATTTTAGCCAGCAAAAACTGCTGTAATTACTGAGAGTGGAATCATTTTAGTGTTATTTGTGATCTGTTTTGGACCATTCTGTGAAACTTGCTGCAGTGATGTAATTCGGTGGATGTTTTTGTAGCCATTACTCAGAGGCAATTTGGGATGCTCTTACCCGTCTCTCCCCACACGGGCAAGTATTCGTCCTGCTGGATGTCCAGCATCAGCTCCAGGCCGTTACCCATGCCGCCCTTCATGGTCAACAGCAGAGGCCGCCCGTCCTGGCCCGAGTTAAAGGTGTAGCACTTTCCATATCGTGTGAAGATCTGACAATGACAAAAAACAAAAACTGTGAATACATAAGTCGAGGCTCCAATAATACGAATAAAAGAAATAAAAAGACTACACAGAAGACTACCTGTACATGTGCATTGAGTCCATTCAATGCACCTTGTTCCATTTGCCACAGTGAAAAGCACAGCTGTGACCTATTGGCCAAACTATGCCTGTCAGTCAACTAATGGATATATAATTGAATGTAACAGACATTAGGAAATGGAAAGCGATGGCCCGCATCCAGAAACGTATGGTATTTGTGAGCCTGGTATGAAAGCATCCGGCCGCACTGACTAACCGGTTAACCTTCATGTTGACATTCACATCATGTAATAACAAATCCAAATATAAAACGGACATTTTGTGTTATTTGCCCTTTTGGAGACATTGACGTTTCAACATACACCACCCATTTCAAGTGTATGATGATGAAAATGTTTGTATTTTATGAGACCCCAATACAACCCCTCCAAATTTTACTTAATAGTACCCCCTTGATAGTTATGAACAATTTGACAACCCACCCCGCCCGGTATTCCTGATCAACACGATATTGGGTGGACATGTCTAACAGGACAGAACGCATATAAAATTTTAAAGGAGCTATGTTTGACTTTGTCCGTTTTGGTTTGAAGCAGCCATTCAGGCAAATTCAAGGGCTTATACTTTGCTGAGTTCCTCCAAGAGAATTCCTCAAAACGTGCCATAATCGGAAGCACGTGGTCAGAGCGTCAGTCAAAATTTGCTCATCTTCTAAATATTAAAAATAATCGGCTTTTAGGCCTCAAAATTCCAAAAATTCAACCATTTTCGAAAGTGAGTGTTTCACCATTTTCATAATCACAATCCTTCTATTTTAGGAGTCCTGAACATTTCTAACCCCCCCACCAACCCCAAAACGAACTCAGTAGTGCACCCTGGAAAGTTAGGAAAACAAATCTGCGGTCAATACCAGTGTGTAGTATTTTATTGCTTGTTTGATGATCATTTTAGGGATTCACCATGAAAGTGGAGTTGCGAGGGGTTGATCATTGTTGCTATTTTTTGTTGTATCCTCAGTCATGCCACTTTGATAGTTTACAAGAAGATCGATAGAGGCGATTCAAATGCCCTGGCAAATACTGCAGATCTATAAGATTAAAAAAATCGAATTCTGCCCAGTTAGGTTAAGTGGAAAAGATAAGCATGTAGGACACTAAAGAGCACTAGAGATAAAAACCAGCAAGAAAAAATGAGTCATAACCTTTCAAGTGGGTCCAGAGTGTCTGTACCATGCCGACTCTAAAGAAGAGTGGGTGGTGGTGGTGGGGGAACACACAACACTGATTTTAACACCCTTCAAAACGATCCGCTCACCTTCATCACATCACAGTTCATCATCGCCCTTTGCGATATCGCACCAGGAAATCTGGTGGCATCTCACCAGCCAATTATGCTTTACAACCACAGAAAGTGTGGTGAGAATGAGCTGAGTGAAAAGTCGCTGACATTGAAAACAAATGGCTCATTTGTTTAACAAGTAAACATTATCAAGGACAATAGGGGTTCTGCTTTTCTCAAAACGACAGAAAGAAACCACGCTGTTGACACTCAAGATGTACTTTGCACAGCTTAAGCATGAAGTCAATCATATCTCACAAATGTGTTTTGTTTTGTCCAAATAAGAAGGAAGGGAAGCCATTTTATTTGCATTTCTGTAATAATATGAAAGAATACTTCTCGCAAGGCCATCTCCTGGTGAAAATGTTTTTAATTTTCATTTTTTACGATGTAGGTTCCCAAACACAGCAAAAACTACCCACTCAGTAGCACCCCCTGGAAAGTTTGAAAATATGTGTCTGGCAATCACATCCCTGATCAAAGTGAAATTTGGTGGATATCTACCATAACGGAACAGATTAAAAAGTCTGAAGGACCCTGTCCCAACATTGAACAGGAGGTCAGCCATTTTGATTCGGCCCATTTCCAAACTGCCTTTCATTTCAAAAATTCTGGAAAAAGTGGTGCACATGCAGTTGAAATCTTTCTTGGATGAACATAACATCATGACCCAAATTATGATCTTAGTTATATTGTTTGGTGCTCTCTACCGTGTTTGCGACTGATTTGTTGCTTTACTGTTGTATATGTTAGTTGCTCCATGTACAGCACTTTGTGTGCAGCGATGGCTGTTTGAAAGTGCTCTATAAATACAGTTGAGTTGAGTTGAGTTGATTTGTAGCGGCCATATTTGCATTTTAGAATCCGCGTGAACTGTCACGAGCATGCAGTAATCTCGTGCATATTGCCAATCTCACCAACTCGGATATTTTTTTTTTCTGTGTAATTTATCCCTATTCTCTGAAAAAGTCACCTATTTGAATTTCTTGTGCTCTTTCAGAAAGCCATAAGATGCTGGCTAATACGAATATGGCAGTTGGGGTGAAGGAAGCATTTTTGAATTCATACATCTCATCATCTGCTATCTAAAACCTTTGTATGTCTAAAAAGTGCATTGCCTGAATTGTTAGTGGTTACATACTCAAAGTCTTTGCCATACATACATGTACATGTGCACTTCCTGTGCAAATATATTAATTTTAATAATCAATTTACCAAAAAAAGATCTCTGAGCCATTTATTTTTTCAGTAATGTTGTAGGATGCATTTGAAATGATATTCAAGTACTTGAGAGGGCGGAGCTATAAGCGAGCTGCTACCCAGCGCTGCCACCATCTCATTTTCACTTTATTTTGCCATTTTTCCAACCCCTCAGGTGACTTAAAAAAATACTGCAAACCAATATTGCAACTTTTTGCAGTGTTATTGAAGATTCTGAGATTTCGTTTCCCCTCCCCATCCAAACTGCAAATGAATGGCGCTTGTGCAAAGCCACCACTGGTTAACTTGAGTTAATTTAATAAAAAGTCAATTTTCTTACTTTTAATCCTTTAAAGAGAATTTAGCATGCAGCATCTCGGAGATAACTTGATAATGCACTTTTTCTGTTATTATAGATACATTTCCCAAATGTCGGCCAAATAAAACATGATCATTTTTCCCCCCCAAATAAGCCTCACAGTCAGCGACCTGCGTGCACATGTTGAAGGCGTGGAGACTTATTCCAGGACAAATTCGAGTTGCTGTGGTAACCGTCTACATTGAGTCGAGTGTAGCAGCAGAGGGAGGGAAACCAGTGGTGACCTTGGGACAGGCGGGTAGGAGTCTTTGTGGAGGTTTATTTTCTTCACAACACGTCTGCCTATTGAGAAGCTCATCCAAGGTTCCTCAAAGCACAGCATCAATGTGTTTTTTGCCTCCCTTAAAATCAAACCAATGACAAAGGAGTGTGCGATATTTTTCTTGATGCCCGAAACAAAAGGCTTGAAGGTGATCCTCAGAGAAAACCTAATCAAGTAGCTCGCTGGGGGAATGTGCAACTATGCTTGCTCTTGTCTATTTAGCATAAAAGTTGAACAAATATTTGTGATCCCAAAGCAGCTTTGCTTCTAAATCCCATATTGCAGTCACATTGCATGCCGAGCCTTGTAATTAGAATGACTGTATCAGATGGAGCCCGCCGGTGTGAAAAAACATCAGACGTCATCAACCCATTTGTGTTGTCGAAAAAAAAAATGCTATCATCTTGGCTGAATAATTCACAGAGTGACAGCCTGAGAGTGTTGAGACCGCCCCGGGCGATCAGACCCTGTGTGAGCGCCACACGGAGACGCAAGCCGTTCCCGGACAAAGTTGCCAAGGAACCGCGATCTCTGTCCCTGATATCTAAGAGAGAGCTGAGAAAAAATATTTTAGTTTGACTGTCACACAAAAGGAGAAAAAAAAAGACACCTTTGAGAGACGGTCTTGGTTGCGGACACATGAAGGTGAGTGTCAGTGGGTGTCAGTTCGTCGAATAAATGACACACATCCAATAGCGCAAATAAATTAGTTCTACACACCTCAACAAAAGACAGACAGAAGCCGTTTTGCTTTTACTTCTAAAAGGTTCCCGCACTTCCCACTCTCTTTATTTGATGCTCACTGAACTAAGGTTGTTTTGAAGAGATCGTCCTGTCTCACGCAAATGACGCAAATCCCGCCGACGATGGACCCACTGCTTTTGTTTAGTTTCATTTCAAGGCGAGTGGCTAGTACAAGCCCCGGGGGGTGAAGAAAAAAAAATAATGAGCATGCTTAAAAACAAAAGGATGGACTGTATTTTTACACATGGAAGCATCACTTCATGACCGAGCTCAAACATTACACTTGTCAAATAGAGAAGCAGATGTGCGAATAGGGCGCAAGGAGCTGATGTCAACATTTGAACAAGTGTTGAACAGCTAAGATTTTTTTTTTTTTTTTTTAGTCTGTATATAACACTGTTGAATACATGCCAGGTCAGTGGGTGGCAACATAATTCATGTACAACCTTTTTATTGCCCTTTCCATTCCTTGTTACTACTTTGTATAAAACTCGGACAGTTGTTGAACTTGTCCTGAGTTTTATTTTGTATAATTTCATTGTACAAAAATAAGATGATATACAATTTGGAACAAGTTGTGGATGAGCAGCTCGGCAACAAGTGACACACTTTTTGTTTTTCCCGTGGGAGCTGGTGGAAGTAAAAGGGCCATTAAATAGAATGGATATTGCACTTTTATTCATCAGGTTGTTAGAAAGACCTCCAAAAGTGCGGCTGCAGTTGAATGCTAACGTTGGGCAAAAGAATAAAAAAAAATGTAAAAACACCAACAAAATAACCTTTTAAGATGATAAGTAGTGCCCCCCGGTAATTAATGGGGGCCCTTATTTTGCTCATTCTAAGCTTGTTATTTCTCTTTTGGGAATTCAGCAGAATGGCCCTGCAGGACTGCAAAGTTCAAAACAACCCTAAAAATATGGAAAAAAAAAAATTCTTATGCTAGTACTTTGTGCATGGCCTCGTTAACAAGTTTGGCGGTCGATCTCTAGAATCCCACATTGGCCCACTTTGGGAAGCCTAATGAA